ATTTTTTTTCCTTAGAGTTGTGAGAGAGAGAGAAAAAGGAGAATTGGTGAGAGATGGAAAGAAAGGGGGGTGGTGGAAAGGGCAGAGAAGTGAGTAAAGTAGGGTGGGAGGGAGAGATGAGAAGGAATAGGAGTGAAGGGATGGGAGGAAGTTATGTTTAAAAGAGATGGAAGAGCGATGGACGTTACATGGAATGCGTGTTGGGGGAGTGGGTAATAGAGGGGGGGGGGGTCTTTAGTGGTGGGGGGTGAAAGGGGGGGAGTCGAAAGGGAGGGGAAAAGGGAGGGGGGTGGGGGTGACACTTGCCAATGTATGCAGATCCCTTCTTGGGCTCTGACGTGACTAACGACCCCCAACAGCAGCAGTTTCGTGGCGTGTTGGGGGAGGGACAGGTCAGAGGGGAGAGGGGGGGAAAGGGGACGGGGGGGGGGAGAGGGAGAGGGGTTTTGGATGGGAGGGCAAATGGGTGGTTTTGGACAATGCTTATGTTGACGGAAGGGAAGGGGAAGTGATGGAAACTGTGGAGGATGATGGGAAAGGAAGAAGGAAATAAGGATAGAGAGAGAAGGATGACAAAGGAAAGGAGATGATAATAGGATGGATGATGTGGATGGAGAGTTAATGAGATGATAGAGGCGCGGAAACAGGACGAGCAGAGAGAGTGGTGATACGGGAAAGGCCGGGTACGATAAGGTTGGAAGAGACACGAGGAATGTAAAAAAAATAACGGAACAGGAACAGCTCAAGGAACAGTCGTAAAAATGCGCCATACAGGACGAACTATGCCAGCAAGCATAGAACTAGACCGTCCCTTTTCCCGCTGTGGGTTCGATTCCCCAACATACATGGGCGAGAGGATAGAGAGGTGGATGGTGTATGGGCAGCAGGAGGGAGTGAGAGAGGAGAAGGAGATGTATAGAAAGGAATGGAGAAAGGAGTTAAAGAAACAGGAGGTGGGATAAGAGGCAAGAACCCAAGTTGGAACTCGCAGAGGAGGATAGATGGATGCAATCAGAGATGGAGATAGGAGAATGAAAAAGGAGGAACGAGATAGGGCTGAATAGAAAAAGAGCAATGGAAGAGAAAAAAAGATGGAGAAAGGAAAAGGGAAAAGAAATGGCAGGGACGGAAAGACTAGATGAAGAGACAGTGGAAGACAGAAAGGGAGGGAGAGAGAGAGGGAGAGAGAGAGAGAAGGAGGGAGAGAGAGAGAGGGAGAGAGAGAGAGAGAGGGAGAGAGAGAAGGAGAGAGAGAGAGAGAGGGAGAGAGAGAGAGAGAGAGAGAGAGAGAGAGGGAGAGAGGAGAGAGAGAGGGAGAGAGAGAAGGAGAGAGAGAGAGAGAGGGAGAGAGAGAGAGAGAGGGAGAGAGAGAGAACCTTGAGTACTCAGGATGGGGGGATCCCTCACCTGTAGCCACCTGCCACAGGTAACGGTAGCCACCTGCCACAGGTAACGGTAGCCACCTGCCACAGGTAACGGTAGCCACCTGCCACAGGTAACGGTAGCCACCTGCCACAGGTAACGGTAGCCACCTGCCACAGGTAACGGTAGTCACCTGCCACAGGTAAAGGTAGCCACCTGCCACAGGTAACGGTAGCCACCTGCCACAGGTAACGGTAGCCACCTGCCACAGGTAACGGTAGTCACCTGCCACAGGTAAAGGTAGCCACCTGCCACAGGTAACGGTAGCCACCTGCCACAGGTAACGGTAGCCACCTGCCACAGGTAACGGTAACCACCAGCCACAGGTAACGATAGCCACCTGCCACAGGTAACGGTAACCACCTGCCACAGATAACGGTAGCCACCTGCCACAGGTAACGGTAACCACCTGCCACAGGTAACGGTAACCACCTGCCACAGATAACGGTAGCCACCTCCCACAGGTAACGGTAACCCAACCATTGACAACCACTGTGTAACACAGCCTGATATATATTTCATGCTTCCCATAAACATAAGTTTCGGATCTAAACAAATCACAGCCTTTTATAATGGTACTTTCAAGCCATTGGGAGTTAATAAATTTTCTCCTTTTAGACCTGAGTCTTTGGAACAGAGATGGAAGACTCCTGAGTCTAATTCAGCTTCATCTTTACACAAAGAAATCACACGCAAACTAATTTGGCTGCAATGTCTTTGTCACTATGATGGGTTATATTTAGATGAGATGGTATCCATACAAAAGAGATTCTAAACCCTTTATCCTGTGCAGCAGGAAGAGTGGAAGTTAGTTTTAAAAAGACTGATGCACAGCAGGAAAAGGAGGAGGTTGAGGACAAACACGGACAATGCACAATAAATAGACCGAAATTAAAAACAAATAGAGAGGAACGAGACAAAATTCACATGGTGTGGAAGGGAGAGAGAGAGAGAGAGAGAGAGAGAGAGATAGATAGAGAGAGAGAGAGAGAGAGAGAGAGAGAGAGAGAGAGAGAGAGAGAGAGAGAGAGAGAGAGAGAGAGAGAGAGAGAGAGAGAGAGAGAGAGAGAGAAAGAGAGAGAGAGAGCAGGTAATGAAATTAAAACATGTAAGGATGGTATTGCTCAATTCAATATAATTTTTTTCCCCCAAAATGAAATTTATATATATATATATATATATATATATATATATATATATATATATATATATATATATATATATATATATATATATATATTAAATAGTTACATTATATGTTAGTAAGTTTATTTATACCCAATAAAGATGGGTATACATAAATTATAGCACATAAATTAAATATACTCATTATAGCACTGTGTACTATAATGAGTATATTTAAGGCAGTGCACACACACACACACACATACACATACATTCACACACACACACACACACATACACATACATTCACACACACACACACACATAAATTAATATATATTAATTATACACACATATATAAATACAATTCTTCCGGACATCAATACTAAAGTACTAATATAATATAGCTTGCATAAGTGTCTCATAATCCTCTACAGCATTGGTTTTAAGTTGAAGAGCTGCCCTCTTTACACAGGTTAAAGAGCTGCCCTCTTCACACAGGTTAAAGAGCTGCCCTCTTCACACAGGTTAAAGAGCAGCCCTCTTCACACAGGTTAAAGAGCCTGCCTCTTCACTCAGATCGAAGGCCAAATGGAATATTAAACAACAATGCCTCTTGATCACTGAGACAAGTGGACAAATTGACTACTGAAATGGGTTATTACACAGGAAATGGGTTATACCAGTGAAAAATAGATTATAATTGGAAGAACATAGGTTATAGATGAGGAAAATGGTAACAGAGGAAAATCGGTTATAGAGGAAAATTGTTTCTAACAGGAAATTGGGTTATATCAGTGGAAAATGGGTCAAAAGAGAATAGAATGAGCTCTATCAGAGGAATTTGGCTTGTAATAGAGGAAAATAGGTTAAAAGAACAGGAATACGAGTTTTAAGTTTTTAATTAAAATAAAATTTTAATTAAAATTTAGTTATAATTTTAATTTTAATTTAATTTTGCGCCAATGCGTAAAAAGCCCTGAAATACAAAAATAATCGTTTAATATCGGCTAAAATCCCTATGAAGCTTTTAAACAATTTGCGAGTTTCTGAACTTAGCATTGATTAAAGTGACGTACAAGCAGGATGCACACACACACACACACACACACACACACACACACACACACACACACACACACACACACACACACACACACACAATCCCTGAACTATATGTTTAACTGATCTCTAACCTTGTCTATGGAAGACAGAAGAAAATGTATATATGCTGGTTAGCATTGTAAATGTGTGGCCACGTCTGTGGTAGAAAATAATAAAACACACACACACACACACACACACACACACACACACACACACACACACACACACACACACACACACACACAATTCCTGTAAAGATGAGAACATACAATGAAAGAACAGAGAGAAGGTGAGAGGGAGGAACACTCAAATGGAAAGTGAGGGTCTTGGAGAAAATGAGAGACTTGGAAAGTGAATGAAAGTGCAACGTACATAATGTAAACAAGATTTACATTGGTTAATACAATGATTGTTTAAAGGTTATGGATCTCTTGAAGCTCCTCCGCTTTGGGAAAGGAACCGAGGACGCAGCAGGCGTTTACCCTCTGGATCGCCACACTGAGGCGCTGAAACAAGAAACTGGCAGCCCTTGTGTCTCTGGTGACGTCAGTGAGCCTGGAACCCAATTCTTTGAGAAATCCCAAAGCTTTCCTTCCCCTGGAACCATGCCTTTCAGACGACATGGAAACAAAGCTATAGTGACCCTCCAATCGCCTGTATTTGACTGATTTTGCTATTTCTCTGCGGTTGGCTGCCCCACCTGCTTGATCAGCAATGAGGTGTATGCAGGTGTCGGCCAGGGTTGATACACATGTGTAGTCCCACACCAGCTGTCTACTCCTTTTCCAGGGGGGGAGGGTATATTGTGATGCCATCTGGGCAAAGAGAGAGGTCATCCGGGTTTTGGTCCACTAAGATGCGGGGATCTCTCTCCGCTGGACACTGAGCTGAGGCAAGGCTCTTCTTGATGATGTCATTAACCTCGTTGTGTCGGGCATGCCCCCTTGCGAGAGAGGGAGGGAGAGAGAGAGAGAGAGAGAGAGAGAGAGAGAGAGAGAGAGAGAGAGAGAGAGAGAGAGAGAGAGAGAGAGAGAGAGAGAGAGAGAGAGAGAGAGAGAGAGAGAGAGAGAGAGAGAGAAAGAGAGACATAGAGAGGGAGGAGGGATAACAGGAAGCCATGACACGAAACGAAAGAAGGGGAAGTTAAATGACGCAGATGGTGGCCGCTCGGTAAGGAAACTCTACTTAACTTTCGCCTGCTGGGAAGATCACACGCAGCACCAACAGTCAAAAACTTCACCAAGAGGGACCTTAAAACAGTCAAAAACTGCACCAACAGAGACCTTAAAAACAGTCAAAAACAGCACCAACAGGGACCTTAAAACAGACAAAAACTTCACCAACAGGGACCTTAAAACAGACAAAAACTGCACCAACAGGGACCTTAAAACAGTCAAAAACAGCACCAACAGGGACCTTAAAACAGTCAAAAACTGCACCAACAGAGACCTTAAAACAGTCAAAAACAGCACCAACAGGGACCTTAAAACAAGCAAAAACTTCACCAACAGGGACCCTAAAACAGTCAAAAACTGCACCAACAGGGACCTTAAAACAGTCAAAAACTGCACCAACAGAGACCTTAAAAACAGTCAAAAACAGCACCAACAGGGACCTTAAAACAGACAAAAACTGCACCAACAGGGACCTTAAAACAAGCAAAAACTTCACCAACAGGGACCCTAAAACAGTCAAAAACTGCACCAACAAAGACCTTAAAACAGAGAAAAACTACACCAATAAGGACGTGAAACAGGCACAAGCAACTCCAACAATAAAGCCTTCACATAAACGGAACGAAAAAAGAAAGAAATAAAGATTAAAATTGTCACGAGAACTGAAATTCTATGCAACTCAAAACCTCAAAATCAATATCAAAATTAAAGAAAGGGAACAAAACAAAGAGAAACATCAACAATAACAACGACATAATAGGCACAGATTAAGGAAGAAAAAAGGGAAGCAACAGGTGTAAATTAACATTAGGAGAGAGAGAGAGAGAGAGAGAGAGAGAGAGAGAGAGAGAGAGAGAGAGAGAGAGAGAGAGAGAGAGAGAGAGAGAGAGAGAGAGAGAGAGAGAGAGAATTGGGAAGCAGCTCTCCTGAGTGACGAGAACACTCAAACAAACGCCTTTGCAAGTGGCTATGCCAGCGGCGGCTTTCCAGCCCAAGTACATTCCTCACTGATAGTCCAAGTGGTTGACCATCTTATCTGCCATGGTTGAGCTGTCGTGACCGGCTGACAACCAAGGTCAAACACCAGCGGTGGGGAGCGTGGGCTGTACAGCCTGGGTGCCTGGGTCGTCATTGGGGGTGGGCCCTACGTAGGTCAATTCAAATTACTAAACAAGGATCGTCACTTATAAATATAAAGCTAAGCAACAAAATACCAACATAATTATCTCACACTAATGAGGCTAACATGTTCTTTAATCGATTGATAAGCAAAGTGAAAATGGAACTCAGATAGTGTGGTACAGAGGAAGCATTCAAACAAATATTTCTGTTGAAATCCTCTGCATTCCTTGTTTATAACTCCATAAGCTTTCATAAGCAAACCCCCCCCCCCATAGTTTGGATCTAATTGTCTGTTGCGTTTTGTGGTGCTTTGTAATCCTTTGTAATCCTTTATAATCCTTTGTAATCTTTTGTAATCCTTTATAATCCTATGTAATCCTTTGTAATATTCCCCGCAGCTCTCACCAATCCCATGGAGAGTTAGTTATCTCCACACACAAGTGACAGGATGGAGAGTCTTCAAGATCACTTAGTGCCAGTATTGGTGGAATGATAATGGTTGATTTCAGATATCCTGAGACGTGTGGCAGGAATTATGTACTGTGTATTCTGTGACTGAGCGTGTAATTTGAGGCCATTCACGTGATGTTGGGTGTGGCTAGATCAGCCACACCAGCTACACCTTCTCACACGCACACGCACGCACACACACACACACATACACACACACACACGTACTCAGACGTGCGTGTGGTCGATGTAATCAAGATGACGGGCATTGTGAAACATAAGACTTAAACAACGATTACAAGTCATACTGGTCGAAGTAATTGAAATACACTTCATAAAGCAACCTGTCAGCCACGGAGACATGCGAAAAGGGAAAGGAGACCTGTTAACAGACCTGTCATCAACAGTAGTACAATCAACAGGAGAATCCGTTATGGACCGCTGACCATTGCATGTTGATTACTTAGGGCCTTAAAGACAGGGGGATGAACAGGCAAGCAACATACAGAACAGATGAACATGGTAACAAAAAAAATATATATATACATTTTCTAGATGGAGTTGAATGGGAAAGAGAAGAACGGATAGAACATCTCAAGGAAATGCTGGGAAGCTAGACGAAGGCTCCTAGGATGCTGAGACGAAGGAACGTAATACGGGAGTGCCTCAAGGGAGTGCCTCGAAGGGGTACTTCTAAGGGGTTGGCCTTGAGGCACTCCCTAAAAGTACACACACACCTTAAGACGCAAATTAAGACTCAAACTAAGATGCGACTCATCAAGACAGTTCTACATTACTATGAACAACATCTTCCTTCAGAGGAGACGCGTCTTAATATAACTATTTAGGCGCGCAATGAGTCAAAGTTGGAGAAAATAACTTTATGCAACTTTGCAAAGTTTCATACATTTGTATTTGGTCTGGCAACGAAGCAGTACGGTAAAGTAATTTGTGCTGCTAACGAAGTGATTCGCTACAATAATTTGGCTCTCTAACGAAGTTACCTAAACACTACGTTCCCAGCAAATATATATATACATATTTTTAATACAAGTTTCACGCCACTTTTGTTTTAAAATTTAAGCCAGCAGACATAAGCAGTAACCCGGAGGACAGTCACCACCAGCAGGTGCCATTAATACAGCGACACTGTAATACAGCGACACTGTAATACAGCGACACTGTAATACAGCGACACTGTAATACACCTGTCGCAAATTCGTGCTAAAATATCCACGTGCAAATTGATGAATACCCAAATTGGTGCTAAAATATATCTAGACTCCATCCTCCTAAAATTGACTTCCTCATTGCAACAACTCATTCAACCTTACGAAAATGAACTGTTGCAACAAAACACTGTTCCCGTTTTGTACTATTCGTTTTGTAATGGGGAATGAAGAGCTGTAACATTCCTATTGTAACATATATATATATATATATATATGTAGGCCTCAATGTAGAATATTATGCCTAAGCTAGCATTTATTAGGCCTATAATTACTTTGCAAGGGTTAGGGTAGGTTCTTTATTTATTTTTCTATATTCATATTTAGTAGGCCACTTGTGCTAATTAAATAGATCAAAAAGTGAACTTTTGTTGGTCGAAGAGACAACTTTTGTACGGTTGGCCAAATAGATGTTTTAAGTACTTTTATTATTATAAGATGGGTTGAAAATGCACTTTTTTAAATCATATAATCTTATAACAATTCAAATAGGGCCACTTACCGTGCAACAGAGATACCAAATGGAAAAGCTGGGTTACCTAATGGGGGGGAAAATTCGGGCTACCAAATGGGGAAGATGGCCTACAAAATTAGGAAACTAGGCTACCAAATGAGTAACATTTAACGTAGTAACAATGTTTGACTTCAGAAACACGCCTCAGTAAAGGTAACCATCCCACTTTATATTTTCAGATTCCTTTTCTAACAATAAACGAAGATTGTTGTAAATAATTGTAAATCGGTTGTGAACACTATCAGGCTCAACCAATTCCAGTATGATACCTGGTTGATACCTGGTTGATGGGGTTCTGGGAGTTCTTCTACTCCCCAAGCCCGGCCCGAGGCCAGGCTCGACTTGTGAGAGTTTGGTCCACCAGGCTGTTGCTTGGAGCGGCCCGCAGGCCCACATACCCACCACAGCCCGGTTGGTCCGGCACTCCTTGGAGTGCCATCCTTGGAGGGCAGTATGATTCATCTCCGCAGCACCGATAGTTTAGAGCTGTCAAGAGCTTGAAGGAACTGTCAATAAAATGTAAGCTGTTGATTGCTTGAAAGCTGTCAATAGCCTGTTAGGTACCAATAGGAAGAAAGCCCCCAATAACCCGGAAGCTGTTAAATTGCCTGAGAGCTGTCAATAGCCCGTATAGTGACAACAGACTGGGATCTGTCAATAACACCGAGGGGAATTAATATTTCGGTGCATACGGCCAATTTGATGATGATTCCGTATGAATACGGTGAAGTGGCACAGAAAAAGTCACCTAAGCTTCCAATTATTGGATTAACTGAATGACGCGCAGTGCCAGTGAGAAGATGAGGTTACCTTGCGGTTACCATGCGATGATTTCGGGGCTCAACGTCCCCGTGGCCCGGTCCTCGACTAGGCCATCCTAATATTAACTGGAACTTTTAGGTGACTCGAACCCGCGACCAATGGATAATCAGCCGCAATCTCTACCACTGTACCACCCTGCCTTGTCGGCAAGGTACGCTGAAGATACGCAAGATGAGAAACTGGTGAACGAGTCTGTAGACTGGTGAACGAGTCTGTGGACTGGTGAACGAGTCTGTAGACTGGTGAACGAGTCTATGGACTGGTGAACGAGTCTATGGACTGGTGAACGAGTCTATGGACTGGTGAACGAGTCTGTGGACTGGTGAACGAGTCTGTGGACTGGTGAACGAGTCTGTGGACTGGTGAACGAGTCTGTGGACTGGTGAACGAGTCTATGGACTGGTGAACGAGTCTATGGACTGGTGAACGAGTCTGTGGACTGGTGAACGAGTCTGTGGACTGGTGAACGAGTCTGTGGACTGGTGAACGAGTCTATGGACTGGTGAACGAGTCTGTGGACTGGTGAACGAGTCTGTGGACTGGTGAACGAGTCTATGGACTGGTGAACGAGTCTATGGACTGGTGAACGAGTCTGTGGACTGGTGAACGAGTCTGTGGACTGGTGAACGAGTCTATGGACTGGTGAACGAGTCTGTGGACTGGTGAACGAGTCTGTGGACTGGTGAACGAGTCTATGGACTGGTGAACGAGTCTATGGACTGGTGAACGAGTCTGTGGACTGGTGAACGAGTCTATGGACTGGTGAACGAGTCTGTGGACTGGTGAACGAGTCTGTGGACTGGTGAACGAGTCTATGGACTGGTGAACGAGTCTATGGACTGGTGAACGAGTCTGTAGACTGGTGAACGAGTCTGTGGACTGGTGAACGAGTCTGTGGACTGGTGAACGAGTCTATGGACTGGTGAACGAGTCTGTGGACTGGTGAACGAGTCTGTGGACTGGTGAACGAGTCTGTGGACTGGTGAACGAGTCTATGGACTGGTGAACGAGTCTATGGACTGGTGAACGAGTCTGTGGACTGGTGAACGAGTCTGTAGACTGGTGAACGAGTCTATGGACTGGTGAACGAGTCTATGGACTGGTGAACGAGTCTGTGGACTGGTGAACGAGTCTGTGGACTGGTGAACGAGACTGTGGACTGGTGAACGAGTCTGTAGACTGGTGAACGAGTCTGTAGACTGGTGAATGAGTCTGTGGACTGGTGAACGAGTCTGTAGACTAGTGAACGAGTTGGCGAACTGGCAAATGTGATGCCCAGTCGTTCGCATCTAAAACAGCTGATACGTGCCACTAGCGAAAAAAATAAGGAGTCAAACAAACAAATTTGCATACCTGCTCGATGCAAAATCAAATCAAAGAATTGTTTAACAGTGTACCAATATCTGCACCTAAGGGAGTCTCGGTTATATTTCTGAAAATTATATAAATTGCGAGTTAGACCAATGTGAGCAATTTGGGACTCGCTGGGACCACACCGCGCCGG